ACTCACACACACTCTCTCACACACACACACACACACACACACACACACACACACTTACTGCGTTTCCGGTGTGTATTTTGGGTGTGTGGCTGATTTGTGGGGTCAGAATAAGGGGTTCAGCCTGTAGGGGAACACAGAAACACAAACAGTCACACTGTAAATGAGTGCCACAAGACTTAAAAAGACTTTTCCATATTAAAAAACTTTTTTTGTCCAATAAAATGTGTTCAGTGAGAACCAAAATGCAGTCCTTACATCATCCTGTGAGAGGACGGGGGACGAATACATCTCAATCAGCCCGCCGAGCTGCGGAAGAAACTCCACATGAAAACTGACCACTTCTAGCTGAGAGAAACTCAACATAAGCTCTGAAATATGAAGAGTATGATGAGCACTGTTGACAGCTGGTATGAGTTACCTGAACCTCTCTCCAGCCTCCTGGAACCTTTATATAGAGTTTACTAGTGTCAATAACGAAAGACAGCGTCCCGTCCTCGAGCACAGACGACTGCTGTCTCATGGCCTGCAGACTCACATACTTCCTGACCTGCAGGAAAACATGCCATTCATTACAGTGAAATACATATAGAAATTCTGTCACGACTTTCTTTCTTCCATGGAACACAAAACAAGATCTTAGATCAAGATATTACTTCATACAAAAACAAAATAAAAAATTATTTTACTTCCATAAACTTTCACTTTCAGATGCAAAAAGTGGTAACATTTTTTCATTGGTTATATCTCTTTAAACATTAATTGTAAAATTCAGAATTTATTCTGAAAAGTATTTAAAATGTATTCAGAATGAATGATTAAATGATGTGCATTTAAGGGACTTAAAGCATTTGCAAAGTTTCATTCCCTTACTAAAAACTATACATTTTTATAAATTATCTATCTCTTCCGGGTCAAAGCGGACCTGAACGCATTATTATGCATTAAGCAGTGCATCTTTCTGAATGAAAGTGAGCATGTTTGATAAAGCAGCCCAGGTCAGGTTGTTCTCATAGGCCAAAATCAAGTATGAGCATCTTGAGATATCCTACGAGAAATATGACTGTATTCTGAAAACTGACCTCATTTACTGCTGTGAACATCTCAGGATCTCAGTGTTTGCATAAGGACACTCGAGCAGAGTGACATTAAAGTAAATGACTGATGTATTTCACACGTTTGATGATACTGTTAGTGTTGTGTTTTCACTCACGGCACTGGAGGCCTCAGCGGCTCGTCCCGGGGGCCCAGGGGGTCCAGGAGGGCCAGGGATCATCACGCCTGAAACAACATGAACTCTTGAGCGTCTGTGCATATCAAAGTGTGATAGCAGCAGAAGTGTTTGCCTTCTTCACGGTGAGATGAAGAGCTGTCGGGACGCTCAGCAGGGAGGAGCATCTGAGGGGCTCCCTCATAACCTTACATCAACAACACATCACTCCTGCGTCACAGCAGGACATCAGGACGGCTTCAAACAAATAAACATGTGAACCTCATGACCCGCACCTAAGAAAGGGCTGCTGGCTTTAGTGACATGGACTGGGCTGAAGATAACCGTGGATTTGTAAAATGAGAAAAAAATACAAGAGACTTTTGAAATGTCAAATACTTTAAGGTTTTTCGTACCAGATCCGTGTTGTCCAGGAGGTCCGGGAGGCCCTGGCAGTCCAGGAGGTCCAGCGATGCCACTTCTCCCGAAACCCAGGGCACCAGGGGGTCCTCGTGGTCCTGGATGACCAGGGGGTCCAACAACAGATTCTCCTTTAGGTCCCTGCTGACAAAACCAACATTATTAGGCATTTCACAGCATTACTGTACATGTGAAAAGCCATCCATCTTGACTAAAAAACACCAGACTTGGTAAAATTAAAGGAATAGTTCAACCAGTAATAAAAATGATCTTCCAGTTATTCAAAATGTATTTTAAATACTAACAGCATGTGGATGGAAATTAGTGAGCAAACAATGCTTCTAAAATTAAAATTATTATTATTATTTTTTTTTTTGTGAATTAGTCTTTTTTTTTTTTATTCATAATATATCATAATGTATAACCATATATTACCTGTATAATTTTAGTATCATTGAGATGCTTTTATAATTTGATTAATATTTTCAATCAGTTTTTATTTTTATATTTTCCATTTTAGTTTTAATTTTATTTAAAGATTTAGTCATTAAAAAAAATTTTTTTTGGTCATTTTTAGTAGTTATTGTTATATATACGTATATATATATTAGGGCTGGTAATTTAATTTGTTAATTAGATTAATTAATTACGGTGAAAATAGCGTGATGGAGCCTAGAGAATATAGTTAGAATGTCCCTAAAATTCAAGATAAGGGGCAAAAATGCCCCTGTTTGAGTTTTTATCTCATATTTACATCGTATAGTTAAGCAATATCACACGAGCAATAAGTGCAATATCACACAAGTGCAAATGTGATACTGATCTTATACAACAGTTCAGTAAATAAGAAGTTAATATTGTGTTATTTTAGATGCAATGTTGTTTGTTTTGCTCAATTTTGCCAATGAAAAAATAAAGACAAAGCAGAACTGTTCGTCTCCGAGCAACACACAGCGGCATTTCATTTCTTAATGCACGTTTTGAATGAATTGGGTGAGCCATTTATTTAAAAGCATCTCAACCCGCTCAGAAGCAGTTCAGAGTTTTGGCATAAGGGACACAATGTCTCTGTTCCCTCCATCAGGGAATGAGGGTTGCCATATGTAACCGAGATACAACCTATGGACTCACTAAAAGGGAGTTCTACATAGGGACGGTTTCTGTGGGGACACCTACCAAGCACTGAACCAGGCGACAGACCAGTTGTCGGTCTAGGTAAACACTGAGTCTTTATTAGGAAAAGGGCAGTGGATTAATTAATTTCCTTCCTTGAAAGGAATAGCTTGCAGGGTCACCACTTGGTCCATAAGGGGAGTAGTGGCAATCTTTGGCATGCATCCAGGCCGGGGTCTCAGAATAATGTAGAGAGGGCTTAGATTTTTCATCTTCTCAGTGAGTATAGTCAGGAAGTCGTCTTCATAGAGAGGAACTAATTCAACTGACTGGAAGGCTCAACGGATCTTTTTCTGTAAGGCCTCAAGGCCATTGAGAGATCCCAAGAGAGGATGAGGCACGTTCTAGGAGGATTCAACCTCTGCGCACCTCATAAGATCCTAATAACCAGATCGTGCTTCCCCACCAATCTGCCACTCACAGGTCCGTGGCTCACCACATACACCCTGAGTGTAAATGCAGAAGGGTGTCTGTCCAGGCCCTCTTGGAACAAGGACAGCACTGATCCGATACCACATCTCCACGGGTCCTTCCCTTGGGAAGAATGCCTTTTTCCTCATGAAAATGTGCCACTTTAGTTCATATAACCACCTTGTGAGGGGGCTCTAGCCTGAGTGATAGTGTTCACCACTGTAGGGGAAAGACCTCTAATCCCAGCTCATCCCGTTGAGGGACCGAGTATGGGGATTCCAGAGATCTGGGCACGGGTGCCAAATAGTGCCTTTGCAATGAGGCTCACTGGGGAAGATGCATACTTGCGTAGGCCCCCAGGCCAGCTGTGTGCCCGTGCGTCCATGCTGAGGGAGGTCTCAGATTGGGAACCACAATGGGCAAAATGAGGAATCCTGTGAGGCAACAGATGTGTCTGTGCATGACTGAATCATTCCAATCAGCTGGACCGTCTGGGGATGGAGCCTCCACTCATCTCGGAGAGGAACCTATCGCAAGAGTGATTCCGCTGGGCAAATGAGGTCACCCAGAATGTGAGTGATTTGCAGAAACCTAAGTTTAGCTGTCCGTCCGAACTAGCACGTGCTTGTCCTGGATCAACTGTCAAGACCTACCCAAGAAAAAAGCACTGCCAACAACTTTTGGGCAATCGACTGCCCGTGCAGGCAGGAACCGAACAGGTCCCTAAGGCTGCATGCCCATTGCATGAAGCACCTCAACCTATCCTGGAATCCGTTGTTAGAACGGTGCTTTTGGACACTGATCTAGAGGCACACCCTCCCATAGAAACAGAGGTCCTTCCAAGGACTGGAATGAGACAGCACCTCGTGTGAAAGCCACATGGTGCGAGTCACTGAGCCATGCTCATCTCAGAACTCGGTCATACAGGCAGCACTGAAGCAGTCTTATAAGCATCTTCTGCTGGCATAACGCGATCAAGGATGCCATACCCCAGGAGCCTCTTAATAATTCAAGAGTAACCGCTATTCCGTGCGTGGAACCCCCAAGCAACTCAGCACTGTTGGAGCACAGACCTCCTCAAGATGTGCTGCCTGGAAACCGAATCCAATTTCATACTGAAAAAAGAGGTGCTCTACCCAGTGGAGAACTTACTCTTTTCCCAGCTGACCTGAAGGCCCATTTGGACTGGGTGATGGGGTAACATGTCCCTGTGTACACCCACCAAGTCTCAAAAGTGGGCAAAGAAGCCAGTCAACAAGACAATTGAAGGTGTGAGCACCCACTTCTCTGAGAGGGAACTGGTGGTGTCACCTGGCTGCGAGAAGATAGCCGTTAGTCGGGCTTAACCACCGGTAGGGTCAGTGCAGTTCTTGCAGGGTGTCCCCGGCGACAAGCAGGCGGAGATTGCTACATTGGGGGTCCAAGGATAGAACCCGACCCAAGCCGAGGCAGAATACTTCCACCCGCTTGCTGACTGTCGAGAATTGCTGGGCAAATTCTTCCGAAGGTGTCACCAGAGAGACCAACCTGGGAAATAGGGGCATCGAGAAAGCAAACTTTCTCAGAACCCACATCCCCGTCAGGTTGAACCACAGGTGGCACTTCTGAGCCACTAATGTGGACATAGCCCTCCCAAGAAGAAGTCTGTTGTCTGACGGGAGTCTCGGACTGCCCTAGCAGGTGGCAGCCTTTTTCACGCAAAATGCACCACGATCGCTCTCTCTGCATCGGAGGACCCCCTTATATCCCTTCGCTGAACCGACGTCAAGGGTGGTGATAAAGAACGTGAGCCCTGAGCGCACCATGCTGACAGCCATGTCCTCACAAAAGGACATAAACCACCCACAAAATCTGCTTCAGCATGGGCGCAGCTCGTGCCTGTCAGAGGGTGAGACGTACAAACCGCAACCAGAAGGGCATGGATGGAAAGGCATGTTGTAAACACACACAAATCCACCGGTGAAGCTCTTTTAGGAGGAAATTTGCTCTCAGAGATCGGCGTTGAAGCACCCAGGGGTACTCTCACTACACTTATCTGTGTATGAGCAAGGGAGAAACTGCTGCTTGTGCCATAGATCGAGGAGATTGAGAGGTGAATCTCCAAAAGAGATGCTACATTGGCTCCGAAGAACAGAACGAGTGAGCAAATGCCACACTGGCCTATTCATACCCGGATATCTGGGGCATGGCCGGCTATGCAAATTCTGCTCGCCAATTTCATTGGCCTTTTCTCAATGATGTCAGAGGTGTCTGGGCTCCCACGTGCAACCCCTAGTGTTGGAACTTGGACACAACTTTGAAGTGACCGACTGAAAGGGAACTCTGAACTATCAATCAGACGACAGAAGGCATGGAGTAGATTGTGTGAAACAGCAAAGTTTGATCATGTTGATCATTTAGAGCTTTAGAAATTAATGATCAAATGTGATACAGTAGCTTTATAGGCTTAAAATAAATGCAACTCTTCTAGAGTCTAATGGAGATCTGACATAATTAGTGGTCATGTAATGCTTTCAGTTGCAGTGATCTTATATAAATTGATGTGTATATATATATGTCACTCACTGCTGAACCTGATCTCCCCGGCAGCCCTGGCATCCCAGCTTCTCCTTTCTCTCCTCTGAAACCCTGGTCACCTTTACCGGCCTGACAAAGACATGCATTCAACAACAACAGGTCAATGCAGTTCCTCAGTCTCTATTTAATCAATGTTGAAACGCTCTCAATATCTGTGAGAGAATGTCTGATGAAGAATGTCTAGATGAAACTCACCGTGACTTTGGTTCCCAGTGTGTCGCCTATGAGAGAACAGATCAGAGCATTAGAAACACGCGTGAGTTCAGAACGACATACAACAAACACCTCAAAGTCAAGCTGTTCCAGGAAAGAAGGTGTGGTGTGATGTGACTGTCAGGTACATACTGGAGGAGGACGATGATGATGATGATGGCAGATCTCTCTCCTGTCCAGACGATGAGCTGCTGGCGCCCTCTACAGGTCAGAACCACACAATCAACACAAACCGTCAGAACAACACCAGCAAACCGATCATACTGACAAAAACTATTCCAAATATGTAACATTAAAATTTGACATTTTAAAAATGAAAATAGTTATTTTTGAAAATTACAGATTGTAGAAAGTACATTCTTCAAGTTCACATTTAAGCAAAATAGAGGAGTAATCATTAAGCAGACAAAACCATTGCCTGATTCATTCTAAGTAAAAAATGACAAAAATAATCTGATCTGATTCTAATGTGAATTCGTTTGAACAAGAAAAGTGAGACAAAAAGTGAAGATTATTTTGTACTGCTAAAAACACTACCATCCAATAGTTTGGGGTTGGTACATTATTTTTAATGTTTCTGAAAGAAGTCTCTTCTGCTCACCAAGGCTGCATTTATTTGATCAAAAAAAACAGTAAAAACAGTGAAATATTATTACAGTGTAAAACAACTGTGTTCTATGTGAATATCTGTTAAACTGTAATTTATTTCTGTGATGCGCAGCTGTATTTTCAGGATCATTACTCCAGTCTTCAGTGTCACATGATCTTCAGAAATCATTCTAATATGCTGATCTGCTGCTCAAGAAACATTTCTGATTATTATCAATGTTGAAAACAGTTGTGCTGCACAATATTTTTGTGGAAACTGTGATACATTTTATTTTTCAGGATTCACAGATGAACAGAAAGTTCAGAAGAACAGCATTTATTTGAAACAGAAATCTACTGTAACAAAGCTCTTTACTGACACTTTTGAGCAATTTAATGCATCCTTGATGAGTAATTGTATTAATTTCTTAAAAAAAAAATCATACAGTGCTCAAACGTTTGATCAGTAGTGTATGATAATCAGAAAACATCTCTTAAAACTCACCTTGTGTAGAATCACTGTTAACCTTACCAACAGAAAAGAAAGACAAATAAGTGTTAATATAACCGGTGAGAAACAGTGTTAATTCAATACGACAGAAACCATCTGGATGTGAATACACACACAGGATGAATATGGAAGACAGAGGAAAGGTCAGTCATGTTCTGATGTTCATGAGATGAAGTATTTCAGCAGCAGATGCTCAGGTGTTGTTGTGAAGGTCTTGCACAACAAGCAACAACTAAAACTTTTCCATTCGGAAAACCAAACATGTAATGCTCGTTCCATTTTGAGATCATGGCATACGAGAACACAGTAGAGTCCGGAGAAGCATGAAGCGTTTATGTCCTCAGCACACCAGCAGCATGATCATGAGCATTCCTCTGTCCGTATGACATGCAGCATGCTGAAATGACTGCCATACAGATGCCTGTGTGGTTATGGACCATACGCACTGAATGCTGGGATATGCACAACTCTCCAGCCTTCATATGTCCAATTACAGAGTGATAAAACAGTCACAAATCTGAGATTACAGCTGCATTATGTGCTCATTTTAGATCATTATCCACAGCATGCATCACTATTCAAACATAACGTGTGTTTACTATGAAATCACTGACTCAGAAACAGCCACTGGAGCTTTGCTTTGACTCTGTGAGTCTCAACATACAGCGGCTGCACTGAAGGAATGCTGAGAGATATACGATACATAAACACTATAAATGCACTGTCCATAAGCCATATCAGTCCTTAAACGCATCTTGAAAAGGACAACAGCACCTCATGCCATAGATAAAGGGAAAATGGTCATATAAAGAAAGATAATGACGCATGAAATCACATATTTGCCACTTTGACATCCATTAAGTTCATGTAAAATGCACTTAATGAATTGGTTATTAGCAGAGACAGTTGAAATGTGCATTACACTTAAGATGGGTCAAGTGTGCATTAGTTAAAAGGTCTTCACTTTTAATTATGACAAATCAACTGAAATGTGGAGGAATAATTATTGAGCAGTGTTAGAGTGAGAGTTAGAGTGAGTTTAAAGACGATGATGATGATGATGACGATGATATTGAGCTGTAGACAGTGCGTCACACACATCAGTCACTCACGGGTATTTTGCAGCCGGGTCGAGGAGGGACTGGAAACACGGTCTACAGAAACATGAGGGAAAGTGACACTGAGCAACAGCACAGAGCATCTGTGTGTATGAGACAGAGACAGAGACAGAGACAGAGACACACTCACTCCATTAGGACAGCTGAAGATTCCCGCTCGTCCTGGAGGCCCCGGCGGCCCTGGCGGGCCCTTCAGACAAAAACAAAACATACACGATTTACACCATCACAAACTATTACCAAACATCATCGACCGGAGATCTACAGCAGACGGGTGGAGCAAGCGATTTCAACACGCACCCATCTTACTAATGAAGGAAAGCGATTAGCACAACAGTCTGCTCTCCGCTTCTAAATGCTTACAGACACTTGTTGTTTTTGCTGTTGTTATGCAGTTTGTGTAACTGCCCTGCACATCCTTGATCTTTTAGATAAAACTGCTCATTTCTTTTTTGTAGAGTATGTAGAGATAGACAGTGAGGCTCACTTTAAAGGAATAGTTCACAAAAAAAAAAGTAAATTTGTTGCAAATGTACTCATCCTCAGACCATAAGTTTGTTTGTTCATAAGATTTGTAGAAATGTAGCACTGCATCAGTGTCTCAGCAATGGATGCTCTGCAGTGAATGGGTGCCGTCAGAATGAGAGTCCAAACAGCTGATAAAAACATCACAATAATCCACAAGTAATCCACAGCACTCCAGTCCATCAGTTAACATCTGGAGAAGACAAAAGCTGAAACTAATCCAGCATTAAGACATTTTTAACTAAAATACCATAGAGTCCATAGTCCATAATAAACATATCCATAAAAATGTATTTTGGCCAGAAGCAACAGTTGATGGACTGGAGTGCTGTGGATTACTTGTGGATTATTGTGATGTTTTTATCAGCTGTTTGGACTCTCATTCTGACGGCACCCATTCACTGCAGAGCATCCATTGCTGAGACACTGATGCAGTGCTACATTTCTCCAAACCGGATGAAGAAACAAACTCATCTACATCTTAGATGACCTGAGGGTGAGTGCAGTTTCAATGAATTTAAATGTAAATATACTTTGATTTTTTTTCGTTTGGCATTTTGGTTCTTGTACATTTTTGGGAAAAGACATGACATGGTTTGAGAAACAGAGAGCTCAACAATCTAGTTTTGTTACTGAAGTGCCATTTAAAATATCCATATCCATATATAAATTTTTTAAACAATAATGTATTAAAACTTTCAAGACAGACAAAGCATGAGCTTCAAGGCTGCTAAACGATGACATACTACTGTAGTAATCAGTGCCATTTCATTTGAAAATGGGTGAAAAATATGTTTATATATATAAACATATATATAAACTCACAGGTAAACCGACAGAATCTCCTTTTTCACCCTTATGGCCGTTAATTCCTGGACGACCCTGAAGAAACACAGCATCACATCCATAATTACAACCATAACACACTGTGTATATACATATCTTCAAACGTTTGGGGTATTAAAGAAATTAACACTTTTATTCATCAAGGACGCATTAAATGGATCAAAAGTGTCAGTAAAGACATTTATAATGTTACAAAAGATCTCTATCTCAAATAAATGCTGCTCTTCTGAACTTTCTGTTCATCTGTGAATCCTGAAAAATAAAATGTATCTCAGTTTCCACAGAAATATTGTGCAGCACAACTGTTTTCAACATTGATAATAATCAGAAATGTTTGTTGAGCAGCAAATCAGCATATTATACTGATTTCTGAAGATCATGTGACACTGAAGACTGGAGTAATGATGCTGAAAATACAGCTGCGCATCACAGAAATACATTACAGTTTAACAGAGATTCACATAGAAAACAGCTGTTTTTCACTGTTTTTATTGTATTTTTGATAAAATAAATGCAGCCTTGGTGAGCAGAAGAGACTTCTTTCAAAAACATTAAATACTCTTACGGACCCCAACCTTTTGAACATCACTGTTAATCTTGTTAAGCGTTATATAATGCTGTAATGTCCACTAATGCAGTTAATGACAGATATTGTATACTGTATATTGAGTCTGCATGTACAGGTTTATGATTTTAGGTAACGTACTGAACGTCCTGGAAATCCAAACTCGCCCTTTGGTCCAGCGGGTCCGATGGGGCCCTGCATGTGATGACATAAGACAGAAATCACAGGAATGCAGACTAACACAAACAGGTGCAGAGCTCAGTGTCGTCTGCTCTCGCCTCAGCACTTCAGCACAAAACTTTTTGAACAGAAGCAGCTGTACGCAAACAGCAAAGCCCCCGGAACGGGAAAAACACAGATGAATTGTAAAAGAGTAAAGGAGTCCGACTGTTGTAAGAATTGCAGAAAAATATCGAAAAGGCTGATTTGCATTGTGTTGTGTAGCTCCGCCCACAGGGAACTCTCATTGGTCCATTTCACATAGTTGTATATTAAATGTCAAGTGTGCACTGATTGGCTGTGATTTGTCATTTCTTGTGGTATTTTTGTTTTAAATGTGGACAGAAAAAATGACGATGCTGGAAACTGTGAGAAATTCAAGTTTTAGAAAACGAATTTCTACAGGAAAATTGAGGAACGCCAGAAAAATAGTCGGAGAATGATGTAAATAACTATATTTTTCTGATCATTGATGAGATTAATTAAACACACTCCCTCTAAACTTTCATTTGGAACATTCATAATGAATAATAAGAGTCAAAGTTGAATAAATGAGTCACAACATCTTCCTCTCACCGTTTGACCTGGAGCTCCAGGAACGCCACAGTCTCCCTGTGAGAATCAAAGAAAATAATCAAATAAATGCTTTACTAATCATGTCCGTCTATCTGAACTGTCTCAGAGAGGTTTGGTCTTGAGTAATGCAGCGGTTAGAGGACTGTGACGGCTAAGAAGTCATCGCTGACCTTCAGTCCTTTCGCTCCCTGCGGCGCATGAACTCCAGACACAATCCCCGGCTCTCCTTTCTGACCCTACAGCAGCAATTCATGCGAAACACACACAGCAGAATTAAAAACACACTCACATCCATATGCAGCAATGACAAGAACTTCTGATAACAATCTATGAAATCAGAATATGATACACACACAAACCTCTGCAGCTATTTGAATTACACACACACACACACACACACACTCACTGTATACACAGAGTGTGTGTGCGTGTGTGTGTGTGTGTGTGTGCGCGCGTGTGCGTGTGAGTGTGTGTGCGTGTGTGTGAGTGTGCATGTGTGTGTGTGTGTGTGAGTGAGTGTGTGTGCGTGTGTGTGTGTGTGGGTGTGTGAGAGTGCGTGTGTGTGTGTGTGTGTGTGTGTGAGAGAGTGCGTGTGTGGTGTGTGTGTGTGTGTGTGTATGTGTGTGTGCATGTGCATGTATGTGTGTGCACATGTGTGTGTTTAGTGTGGGAGTCATTATGTTTCTCTGCTGAGTGTTTTTTATCATTTTAAATCACTAGGAACTTTTCGTGGCCCATGAGTGATCATACTTTGAGACTGACTGAATTAAATGAATCAGATACTGAACCTTTGAATGGAAGCAGTTCTGCTGTCAGTGGTCTGAGTGTGTGTGCTGTATGTGTGGTCTGATATTGAGTGTTTCGAGAGGTTTGCATGTGCTGAACCTCAAACGATTAGATTCTTGATTACATGCCAACAGACAGCACCAGCATGCTCCGCTTTCTCTTCTCTCAAATCACACACACACATACTCATACACACCTGCTGTACTGACGCATCTCCAACTAACTTACCATTAATCCTGGAGGCCCCTGAACCCCCGGGGCCCCGGTATCACCCTTCAGACCCCTTGGTCCCTGGTGGAATAAAACAAAATAATTTTGTCACCGCTGCTGTAAGATAATTAACCTATAAAGTAGATTTAAACATTTTCTGAAGTGCAAAAACCACACAAATATTCATGGTTCTCAAACCAAGGCTTTCAACTATAATTACTTACATTAACTTCAAAAAATACTTAATTTCTATTGCTGAAACACTTACTGAATTCCAGTAATTGTTCTAGTTAAATGTTCCACTGAGACGTCACAATATAGAGTGTGTTTTTGCGAAGGGTTATTATCTTAAACCGCACAGCACATTTGGAAGCTCTAATGGATTTGTGTATTATATTATAAAGTCTAAAGAACTGTAAGCATTTGACTCTGAAGCAGAAAGCTCTGCTCTGAGGAACCTTTCACATGATGCGCAGAACTCTGTTTATTTCACTTCATTTCTGCTCGTCAGTGCCAGTAAATTATGCAATAATGCAAAGCTAATGTGTCGTAATTGTTTAAAACAATTTCACAGGCAACTCGACTTATTGTAAATATGTAATTAAACCGCAGTGTGTTTACATTCCTGTGCGTTCCGTGAAGCGAGCGTGTGGTTTTGAGCAGCTATTGTACCATAATCTCTACGCCCGTCTATCTTCAGCGTTTCTGTTTTCGCAATAGAATGAGAGCAGTTTGGGAATTAAAAGCAGTGAGAAATATAATGAAAAATAATAGTTGGAATACTATGGCCAAAAGTACAAGTATAAGATGACAGCCATATTTCAAGACAATTCATATTTCATGACAAGTGATATTTCATGCTTGTTGAGCTTCTGCTGAACTTATATTCCACCACACAAATGACTATATTTTTGTTAAATGTGAGTTTTAAATTTCATTGCATTTCCATCTGGAGTTCATTCATTGACTTTAAAAGTTAATCTTCATAATAACTTTATGATAGTATTAATAATGAAGCAAGATGACATCCAGAATGGCTGAAGAATGTCAGACAACATTTCTAACTGGCCTTCACTGCAGGGAGCCAGCAATAGGTTCAATACTCATATTAAGTGTGGTGCAAAAACATGACACTGTATCTGTCCAGTCAGCAGGCTTAATTTACCCTAAATACAAGTTTATAATTTGCTGGTGCGTTTCCTGACTCGCTGTTGTGTTTTCCGATTCAGTGTTGTTTTGTTCTGATTCATTGCTCTGTTTCCTGATTCGCTGTTGTTGTTTTTTTTTCTCTGATTCACCGTTATATTTTCTGATTCACTGTTATGTTTTCTGATTCACCATTATATTTTCTGATTCATTGTTATGTTTCCTGATTCATTGTTATGTTTTCTGATTCACTGTTGTGTTTCCTGATTCACTGTTATGTTTTCTGATTCACCATTATGTTTTCTGATTCATTGTCATGTTTTCCGATTCACTGTTGTGTTTCCTGATTCACTGTTATGTTTTCCAATTCATTGTTATGTTTTCTGATTCACCGTTATATTTTCTGATTCATTGTTATGTTTTCTGATTCACTGTTGTGTTTTCTGATTCACCGTTATGTTTTCTGATTCACCGTTATATTTTCTGATTCATTGTTATGTTTTCTGATTTACTGTTGTGTTTTCCGATTCACCGTTATGTTTTCTGATTCATTGTTATGTTTTCTGATTCATTGTTATGTTTTCTGATTCACTGTTGTGTTTTCCGATTCACCATTATGTTTTCCGATTCATTGTTATGTTTTCCGATTCACCGTTATGTTTTCTGATTCACCGTTATGTTTTCTGATTCATTGTTATGTTTTCTGATTCACCGTTGTGTTTTCCGATTCACCGTTATGTTTTCCGATTCACCGTTATATTTTCTGATTCATTGTTATGTTTTCTGATTCATTGTCATGTTTCCTGATTCACTGTTATGTTTTCCAATTCATTGTTATGTTTTCTGATTCACCGTTATATTTTCTGATTCATTGTTATGTTTTCTGATTCACTGTTGTGTTTTCTGATTCACCGTTATGTTTTCTGATTCATTGTTGTGTTTTCTGATTCACTGTTGTGTTTTCCGATTCACCGTTGTGTTTCCTGATTCACTGTTGTGTTTTCCGATTCACCGTTATATTTTCTGATTCATTGTTGTTTTTTCTGATTCACCGTTATGTTTTCTGATTCATTGTGTTTTCTGATTCTCTGTTGTGTTTTTCTGAATTGCCAATCTGTATTTAGATTCACTTTGTCTTTTCCAGTTTGTTGTCTTTTCTGATCTTTTGTGTTTTGGGATTTGCTGTTTTCATTTCTGATTTGCGGTTTTGTGTTCTGGTTTGTGAATTTCATTTGCACTAGCGTACGAATATGAACAAAAAGACGTTTCTGGTTTGGTGTTGATAAAGATTAATTAAGCCATACTGATTAGGCAATGAACATACAGACAAAAAAGTTTAGGGAGTGGTTTCTTACCAATGGTCCTTGTGGTTCAAAAATCCCTGAGAGGTTAAAGATTCCTTCAGTGTCATTCATCATCAACTGAGGGTGGAAAAACAATTCAAAATTCATTCAAAATGCATTGGAATTAGCATATACATCTCCAAAATCAATCCAGTGTGACATTTAAAACAAATTCTAGATGTTAATGGACTCATGTTAATGGACCTCATGTAGGTTGATGACTGGTCCAGGAGGCCCCGGAGGTCCAGGTAAACCGATTCCATCCAGACCGCTCTCTCCCTGAAACACAAAACACATCAACTACTGGCATCGAAGCTGATGGCTCTGAGAGAGACACGTGACAAATGTGATTTGGATACAAACCTTCTGACCCATATCACCTTTCTCCCCCCTTTCCCCCTGAAAAAGTTTACAAAACAGCAAATTAAAAACAAATTCCTGTATTTTATTATCAAAAAGGATCCATAAATTGACTGAAATAGAATGACTATAATTTTATACAGCCTATTTTGTTTAATATATTTACTTGTCGCCCAGGCAGTCCAGATGACCCAGGCTGTCCGTCGTCTCCTTTCGCGCCCGGCTCCCCCTAGTGGAGTGAAGGAGAAATGATTACACAAAATTAAAGCATTAAACACTAAATCAAATGTTAAATGAATGTCTGTGTTGCACAAACAAGCATCACATGTTTTATAATATTTACATAGCATATAATAAATCATATATAAAATAGTTATCCTGTGCAGAATTTCTATGAATTTGTGAAGCTATATTAATCATGTTTACGGCAGATAGTACGTTTGCCACTAAACATGGGAGCAATTTACTTGTGTTATATTAAGTGGGATCCGATTTAGCTGATAACTTCCTGAATCCAACTTCTGTAACTGTGTGTGTTATGTAATATAAAGCCATTACAATGCATTTTTACTTTGAATTACACTATGAAGGAGTTCAAAGCCTGAGGCGCATTCACTGACCCTAACAGATGTGCTGAAGATAGGAACTTTGTGGCTAATGGGGAACACGTGGATGAGAATGGCGTGCTTCCTTTGGAAAGCGGGAATGGAAACAGTTGTGGAAGTGTGTGTGTGCATGTTTTTGTGTATGTGATTGCGTGAGGAGCACAGACCTTCACTGAAACACCCGGAGGGCCGACGGCTCCTTCTTTCCCCTGAAAGTGTAGAGTTGGGTTCATTTAAATTAAATCTAAAGCATCTCTAACACTAATAAATTTTTAGACAGATATGCATCGTCTAAATATTGATTCCCAGGTAATGCCAGGTAAAAATCGCATAACAGATGCCATATCATGGGTTTTACAGTATTGATAGATCACGCCAGATTTCTCTGTATTTTGTGCAGATCTCTATCGTGCATGTACCTGTGGCCCTGGAGGTCCTGGGAGCCCAGGAAGACCCTGAGGATGAGAATATGCACGAGAATGAGCTGCAGTTCAGCTGTAAGAGCCAGAAAAGCCTCAGTAAATGTGAATGTACGTACAGGTGGTCCTCTGGGCAGAACAGGTCTGAAACCACTGCTTCCATCCAGACCCGACCCCTCCAAATCCTGCCACAAAACAAACAAACAAACAAACAAAAAACAATACCGTTTATTCAAAGGCTAAAACCACAGGCGGCTCTAAATTCACCTAATTTCACTAATTCAAACGCAAGCTTCAAATTCACTTTCAAGAGCTTTCAGTTCATGTGAACATATGAACAAATACAAATCTGTACTCCTTTAATAAAATACCCAACACTCACATGTAAATAAATGGTTAAAAACAAACAAACAAATATAAAGGAAAGGACAGATAAACAAACAAACAAATAAAAAACCCTGCTAAATCTATAGACTCTGAAGGTCTGTGAAACACACCATCATGTCAAAACTGAAGCCTTTTCCCGGAGGCCCCGGAGGGCCCGGCTGACCCCTGGGGCCCTCAGATCCCGTCTGTCCTGGGAGCCCCGGCTGGCCTGCATCACCCTGACAGACAAAGATCACTTCTAAGGTTATCAACAGCCTAGTCTTCAAACTAATGATACATCTCAGATTGTTCACAATTCTTTTACTCATCATTTGAAGTAGTTAATCTACAAGACAAGTAGCTGATCCAAATGACTTTACCTTTGGTCCCATGATTCCAGGTAAACCTGGTTCACCCTGCCAAAAAAAACACGAGAGGTGTCAAAATCACTGTTTGGAAACAGATTTGATTCTGCAGGAGGGTTTGGAACGACACAAGGCTGAAGATCAGAACATTATAAGCATGAAAAAGACATAATCTGCGGAAGGTGTGACTTCACTAAATGTGTATGTATAATAATCATGCATCTAAATGTTCAAAGACAGCAAGAGAGGAACACAGGATTTAAATAAACAATAAAACCAACCAACGGTGACAAATACAAATGCAAGAAAATATACCCCTGGAAAAAGCCATGTTTCATATTCAGATATCTTACTTTCCGTCCTTTCTCTCCTTCTTTGCCTGTTTGTCCGTCTCGCCCATTTTCACCCTAAAATGAGAGAAATCACCACATAAGGACCTCCTGCATATATCTAATATTAATAATTAATACAATACTAATAGCGACAGATGATAACTGTCTATATGGTTTCATCTGAAGTGTGTTTCTCACACTCTCATTTCTTGACTCAGGTGTTATTAGTCTTTTGTTGAGCAGTCTTTCAGGAGAAGCGTGAGGCTTTTGGTGACGGTGTTTCAGCAGGAAACAGGAAGTGAGTTATAGTGTTGTCCTTTCCAAAGGCAGTTTCCCCATCATAACATCATACGAGCTCAGCAGATGAATATCAGCTCATATGAAGAAGAAATTAACCCTGAACTCCGTCATCATCACCCCTCGTCTGATCTGTGCTCGATTCACAGCTTTACGGGTCAGTGTTCATCCCAAAACTTTATTGGATTAATGCTATCTGATCGGCTCGGGGAAAAAACTATTAATTTTCATTTTCACTCAAGACAAAACATTTGGGAACAATTACTTCAATCAATAAGAATGTAATGTAATGCTTCTGAGAACTGTAATAACTCTTCAAACTGTCCAGAAATGGCATTATGGAGTCAGATATAGAATTATATATAAACTCAGGATTGCGAGAAAAAGAATTGAGATAAAAAGTCACTATTAAACTTTTTTTTTTAAATGTTACATTTTAAAAGTTTTTAAAAAATTTTATTCCATTTGCAGAAGAAAACAAAACTAAACTCAAACTTAAACTCAAAACTTAAAAAAAAAAGATATAAACTCAGAATTGCCAGATGTTAAGTCTCAATTCTGACTTTTTTCTTGCTATTCTGCCATTTTTCATTGCAAAAAAAAGTCAGAATTGTAAAATAAAAAATCAATTGATTATTATTATTTTTTTATCCCATGTTGGAAACAAGCTTCTACAGTACAGTGAAGTATGGGGCTTTGCTAAAAACTACTGCATGTATTTGATCAAACTGCTGACAAGAAGACAGGTTTCCACATGACCCTTCCTCACACAAACACTTGATTCTGACGGGTGTGATGAAAGCAGAATGAGATTTCTGATGGGAGAAACAACTGCCTTTGGCCTGTGGTTTGAGTTTAGCATCTTGAGACCAGCTCAAATCCAGCCCCACTGAACCAGTCCTCAATCACCTGCAGCACAGTGTGTGTGATGACCTCCGGAATAAAGCCTCTGCTCAGTCTATTAACACCTGCTGAGATGAAGAGCTCAGCCACAATAAAAGTGTTAACCGACTGTCCCTCGTGTTCTTACACACACAACGTCATCAAAGCTCAACCTCCGGCATCACCATGATCTTCAGAAATCATTCTAATATGCTGATTTGCTGCTCAAGAAACATTTCTGATTATTATCAATGTTGAAAACAGTTGTGCTGCACAATATTTCTGTGGAAACCGTGATACATTTTATTTTTCAGGATTCACAGATGAACAGAAAGTTCAGAAGAACAGCATTTATTTGAAATAGAAATCTTTTGTAACAGTATAAATGTCTTTACTGTCACTTTTGATTCAGTTATGAATATATAGTATATTTGTACGATACCCTTTAAGACTCAAAACTCTATTATTGTATGGCTTCATTTTCTCCATTCATTACTCCACAGGAAAAGAAAATCTGTTCACTCATGAGGAATGAGGGTGAGCAAATAATAACTTTTAATTTTAGGATGAACTTTAGCTCAGTTTGACACGCGGGTCTGTAAGCGCCTGTTTAAACTCCAGTACTGATCCTCACTCACCGGGAGTCCAGGCTTCCCCGTCTCCCCGTCTTTTCCAGGAGCTCCTGGAGGCCCGATCGGCCCCGGCTGAGCTCCGACAGAAGGGCCCGGAGGTCCTGGACGGCCCGGTGGCCCCGGTGGCCCTGGAGGTCCCTGGTGGGAGCCGAAAACACTAACAATTAATCTGAGTACCAAATTCTTTGTCTGACAACTCATATCCGTGCATCTTACACATGACTACCTCATGTCTCATTTTAACAGCGTTAAATCATTTAAGTGTCTCAGAGTTCCTTTGATTATTTGCACCCAGAGCTCTCTTCATTTGAACAGACTGTAATAACTCACCCGTATCAGCTCTGTGTCGCTGTCCAAATCCAGATCGCTTGATCCTGAGCCGTCGATGCCGTCCTGCTCGTGGGAAACGCTCAGTGAGTTTACAGCCAGGCCATCTGCTATTATGATGGACATGATTATATAAATATGTACATAATAACATATTATGGTACACACCGGATACTTGAATGTCCCTGGCGGTCCGGGAGGTCCAGGCGGCCCCGGGATGCCCACACCAGGATCACCCTATCAAAGCATAAGCCAGGAAACCGTGGATCGTTTGCTATGATTGGCCCCAATTCATCATGTTAGCAGCACTGGTTCAAGTCTTTTCCCATTCATTTTTCCCATAGGGATTTTTAAAAGTCTTTGTTAAAGCGTTATAATCCATGAACCAAACCAACCAGCTACGAGGAGAATCACAGCATTACAGACTCTGATATGAAGCAGAATCACAACATGAGACAAAAAGACACAAGACTGCGACATTAATGGTTAATTGAAGGAAGAACTACAATCCCATGAAGCATTGCGAATGATATTAATCGAATTAAAAATGATGGAGAAATATAAAACTATGCATTTAAAGCTGTTGATTATATTCTACAAAAACCAATTAATATATTTTAAGTTTGTTGCAAAATTTGCATACATATATACAAATATTTCAGTATTTTGAGAGCATAGGAAGACTCATTTGCCATGACTTATGACAGTGGGCGGAGCTAAAGAGCCGCGACTCTCTGATTGGTGGAATTTCTGCACAGCATCATGGGTAATGTAGTTTTCACTGCAAATTCCTCAAATTAAACATGATTATTTGAAATAAGTTAAAATAACGTGGTCTAATGGCTTCAACTAAAGCATATGCCATCAATTAACAACCTTGGAACTCATAACAAGTCTGTCTTTAACGGTTTATAAGTTATAGTTAAAAAAACAGTTTCCCTATGGAGAAAATGAATGGAGATTTCACTTCTGAAACCTGACTGACAGACTCTATAGGTTTGTTAGGCATGCTATTATAAAATATAATCAGCCAGTGTGTGTCATACCTTGTCACCCTTGGGACCCGGATCTCCAGGAAGGCCCGGGAATCCCGGAGGTCCAGCCTCTCCCTGTACGTGACAGAAAGAGAGGAAAACAAATGTGTTCATGTTAGTTTTGTCCAGAATAAGGCAGTGCTGTTGAAGGCACACTCTCTCGCACAGATCTGACAGAAGGACAGTGCGGTGACGACCCCGGGCCGCTGGTTTAATTAGCCCTACAGGTGCTCACGTTCTCTGACCGCTGACAGACTGAGCAACACTTCACTGGCCGTGACTCACTAATAATGAGGCATGGATTCCAGTTACTAAAACATTAGCGTGTATTCCTGGGCTCTGCTGCACACATGTGAGCGAAGCATCCAGCGGAGACGTGAGTACACCACTGCTGCAGTAAATACAGAGATAGCGTGCTGCATTAAAGGCTTGATGTTCAGTTTGAGTTTAGAGTTGGTTTGGCCACAGCCAGTTCATGAGACATAAAGTGTACAGTTCTCAAGCATTTAGGTTTCTATTTCCACATCCTGAGGCTGCTAGAAAAAAATCTGTTGCTGTTTCACTTCACATCGAAAAGCAAAGCTTTCACAAAGGCTATATATCAATGATAACTTTATAAAAACAAAACATAAAAAGTCAATACATACTAATGTTTTTAAAATGTTTTTGAAAGAAGTCTCTTCTGCACAATGAGGCTGCATTTATTTGATCGAAAATACAGTAAAAATTGTGAAATATTATTATAATTCCAAATATCTGTGTTCTATGTGTATCTCTGTTAAACTGTAATGTATTTCTGTGATGCGCAGCTGTATTTTCAGCATCATTACTCCAGTCTTCAGTGTCACATGATCTTCAGAAATCATTCTAATATGCTGATCTGCTGCTCAAGAAACATTTCTGATTATTATCAATGTTGAAAACAGTTGTGCTGCACAATATTTCTGTGGAAACTGTGATACATTTTATTTTTCAGGATTCACAGATGAACAGAAAGTTCAGAAGAACAGCATTTATTTGAAATAGAAATCTTTTGTAACATTATAAATGTCTTTACTCTCACTTTTGATCCATTTAATGCAGCACTAATGAATAAAACTATACATTTCTTAACAAATGTTTCTTATTCCTTTTTCTTTTTTTTTATGTTTAGGTTTGTGTTTTTTTTTTTTTTACTGTAAATAGGATGTAATGCTTGTAATCAGTGATTTAAACGTTAAATAGTGTATTTAAATTAAGGTTTTCAAATCAGGTATACAACAGGTTCAATGTGTGGTAAATAAACTATATATATATATATATATTTTTTTTTTTTCCTGGGCAAATGTTCAACAGCTCAAGACTCTATCATACACACAGTATCTACACAGAAACAGGGGAGATACTCACCGGAGCTCCATCTTTCGCTGGATCACCCTGTAAGAGAACAACATCAACATTAATGCAGCACAATATCTGACCATGCTTCCGTTTCTTGTGCTCGGAGACATGATCAGAAACCGGTTCAGCTCATTAAGCGTGTGGAACATGTGACGGACTCTGGGACACGTGTGTGATTGTGTGTGTGTGTGAGAGAAAGAGTTACACAGCTACGAAACACTGTAAACCCCTGTGTACAGTCTGCCATCGAAATGAGCAATGCTCGCAAAAAGTGAACTAAACACCACCATAACAGGTTTGCAGCACGTCAAAATACATGCATATCTACACAACAGGTCTACCCCAACATCAGGCCACGTATAAGCAGCTGTGGTGATGAGCAAGCGTCTGTCCACAGAAACAGAAGCTGACGTTCTCTGTTAGTTTAATTGTGTGCAACAGTGAGTCATTCACTGCACAGCGAGTATTAAACTATCACAGACAGAAAGAACGAAAGATAAATAAGAAACAAACAATTCAATTAATTAATTCATTAGTATTTTTGTCCTGTTTTCCAGTAAAGTAACATCCTTTAAACAAGATACAGTACATTTATTTAAGAAAGCAAATGTGCATAGGAAGATTATTATCCAAGAATATATCTTGAATTAAGTTACATTTTTTGTTTATTTGTTTATTTTTATTTTTTAGAAATTAATACTTCAACAAGGATGCAGTCAACTGATCAAAAGTGACAGAAAATTCAGCTTTGCCTTACAAGTATAAATTATTATAAATCGTAAAATGCAATATTATTTCACAATATTACTGTTTTTAACTATATTATATATATATATTTTTTTATATTTAAATATTTTTAATTAAAACATTTTTGAAAAAACACACACACACACACACACACACACTCTCTCTCTCTCTCACACTCACACACACTCACACTCACACACACACACACACACACACACACAGACACACACAGACACACACACAGTGATTGTTGAAGGTGCTGTGTGCTTCGCTCTGGTTCTGCTTTACTTACAGGCTGGCCGTCTTGTCCTGGTGGCCCCTGCGGGCCCTGGGGCCCTGGCTCTCCTGGTGTGTGTGGAGCGGCGGGTCCTGGAGGCCCCGGGGGCCCTCGCTCTCCTTTCTCTCCCTTCTGCATGGTTATGACCTGAGGTGGACCTCGCTCTCCTTTCTCTCCTTTCTGCATGGTAATGACCTGAGAAAGCAGAAGAGAGTCAGCTGCGGAGAAGGCCTGAGAGAGTAGAACAGAATCTGTGATAGAGATGGACTCACATTTCTGTCCTGTGAAGCTCCTTCTGATCTGATCGGCTCTGCAGTGATAGAAAAACAGATATCATGATGAAATCTAATTACAGTTTTTTACGATTGCTTACACACTAAAATTAAACTTTTCCAACAATTAGCAAAACCTTACACTCAAGGAGCAAAACACAAGGCTAGATTTGAACAACTGTAAGCACATTGTCAGCTTCACACTATTTGCAAAACATTACACACAGTGATTTGCAAAACACTAAACACACTTGTATACATCAGACACAGAAGTATATCATGATGTCAGGCCGTTTTCAAAATTGTGCTTAAGCAATCGTAAAAAACTGTAATGCGTATGAAAAATCTCCAGAAATCAGATGATCTCAGCATCGATAAAGGCTTGTCACGTAAACTCGGGCTCAGGAAAATATCATGTGAATAACAGACGACTGCTGAAATGAGAGATGAGACTGACAGGATTAAAGACAGACAGGGGATGATCTGAAGATGACTCTGTGAATGCGTTCACCTTTCGGACCGCTGATGATGATGATGTCCTCTCCAGAGCCTTCCTCCAGGTCCTCATCATCCGTCTCAGTGAAGAACGAGGGAGATTCAGTAGGTGGCGCTCTCATCGGACCGGACTCTATATCCTCCGGCTAAACACCAGACAACCGAAGACAATACAGGAATGAAGCCTGAGAATCACTCCGTGGAATCAAGATATCATCGCTACATAGGCCTTTTATTCAGATAAATAGTAGCGTATATAATATTATAAAATAGATTAAAATAAAAAAATAACTTTGAATGGAGTTGTACTCATAATCTGAAGTTGAATGTCCTAAAAGCAAAGGAAATGTTTTTTTTTACCGTGAAATAAATGAGTTTGCTGCACTAGACAGTGTCACTCACCATCGTATATTCTCTCTCTTCAAGCACTTTCTTGACCTCGTCTGGTGTCTCCGTGTCATCGTAGATGCTGTCACCGCTGCCGTATCCAGACGCCTGGAATGATGCAGTCAGTGGTTAGTTCATGTTCATTAGGGATTGAGTGTGTGTTTGTGCTGTCTGGAGACACATGATGAAAATTAACTCACTTTAACTCACAAACTACAAGAATGGACCAAAAATGCCATTAAACTAAAATAATCCCACAAGCAGCAATGCTGAAATGGCAAACATAAAACATACAAATAAAACACGTTTCACAACAAGTCCTGTGTAAAGCATTTGAAACCAAATCCGTGAATAAAACCAGAGCTTTACAGTAAATGTGTTGCACAGCACAGCAAAACGCCTGTGATGTGCTACTGTGGCCACTAGAGGACTCTCTTACACCAGCTGTGATAGTGAGCTGCGGCTGACTTTACACTAGTGAGGCACACCGGTAACCAGTGGCATAAACTGCTGTCATATCTTGAACGTAGCTGGCTTTAAACACATGTCAGTATATGGAGGGCAAAATATATTACGCGTTTAAAAATATATTTACATTTTTAAAACACATTTTCAGAAATATACAAAACTGGCCAAAAATATATTGTAAAAAATATATATTTATGTAAATATAATTTGAATTTTAACCTTTTTTAAAAAATATATATATATAAAAAATAAAAAAAACTTTTATGGGCAATCTCATCATTAATGCATATATTTAACATGACCTTCTGAGGTTGATTATCAGAATTGCTCTTTTTTTTTTAGGAGCTTCTGATTTTGTGCCATATTATATTATATTTTACCTATTGATGTAAAGTGATGTATATCTTTTGTGTTTATGTGAATCTGCAGATGGATCTGCTGACACTCACGTAAGGATCGTCCTCCTCACACTGTTCATTTGGAGAGCTGGGATCCGCCGTCAACAACAGCTGCTGGATCGAGCCCTGCACACACACACACACACACACACACACACACAGAGAAGGAGATTTCTGTAAATGTTCACTCTTCAGTCCTAAATAGCCTGAAACTGTTTATCAGATGAATCTGTAAAACTCAAACACTGCTGCTGTAAATCAGTGATACACAGCACACACAACTCTTGCAAGACTCTTGTGCAACACATCCAGAGGAAACACACCTGTTTTCCATTCGCTGGAGCAACAACAAATGCTGAAAGTGTGGGAAGAAAGACAGAGAGAGAGAGAAAAGGATTGATCCTCGCATAAAAATATCGATTCTCAAGTGCATTTTTAACCTTTAATTTTATTTATTTATCAAGAAATTCGGTGCATAAAAAAACTTCTAAGTATATTAGCGAATAATTGTGTAGGATAGAAGCATTTCTCCTGCTGATCGGAACACGCAAATGCTGAAAGACAGAAGCAATCAATCACAGACAGCGGTCGCTGCTGACGCATGGCTCAGTGCTTGCTCAGATAGGGCTGCGTTTCCCAAAAGCATCAGAAGCACAAGCAGATCTATAGAAACCATTGCCACATTATTACATTAGCCTACATAACATTGCTACTATATATAACATTAATTCTGAAAAATGCATCACGGTTTCCACACAAATATGAAGCAGCAATAATAATCAGAAATGTTTGTTGAGCAGCAGATCATCATATTAGAATGATTTCTGAAGATCATGTGACACTGAAGACTGGAGTAATGATGCTGAAAATCCAGCTGCGCATCACAGATGCATTTTAAATTACATTTTAAAATATATTAAAATAGAAAATAGTTATTTTAATTGTTATATTTCACAATACTGCTGCTTTTACGTTTTTTTTTTCTTTTTCAAATAAGTGCAGCCTTGGTGAGCATTAGACTTAACAAAAAAATATTACAAAATCTTACTGACCCCAAACTTTTGTGAACATGTAATATTTATTTTAAATTGGCTAGTTTGTGCAAGTACATTTATTTAAACTGGTTGTTAAAAGTTCAAATGGATTGTGTCATGTTCTGTAATTGCTGTTAATAAACCTGTCAGAAAGAAATATGCTAAAGTGTCACCTTTAGGAGTACAACAGCCTGGCAGCCTTTTACAAAAATATATGTAAAGTATTTGTACTAAAACTGCAGTAACCACAAATTTACCATGGTAATAATAATAATAATGCATTTAGTACTTATGTAACACCATGTTTATTTCTCATGAGGTATCCTCAAAGGTGCACCTTTGTAACTTATCTACCCTTAAAGCACGCACACTTGTATGGCACTAATATGCTCTCTTTCAGGGGTATAGTTGCACCTTTGAGGTTACTGCCCCAGTAAAGGGCTAAAATACAATTATAGGATATTTCATTTCTGACAGTGTAAACAAAAAAGGCCTATGAAATGTTAAAAAACATGGCTTTAAAATCTAATATTAAGTGAGGATAATTACTGATTATATTCTTTTAATAATTTAAAAGATCAGTTTAGTTTAGAGGTATCGGTATCGGCAATACTGGGCTTGAAAATATCGGTATCGGATCGCAAATAAAATAAGAGGTATCGCCCATCCCTAAGAGAGAGAGAGAGAGAGAGCCTTTGATAGAGACCAACAAGCCCAATCATAATCAATCAGATCAAAACGTAGCATAATTCTATTAATTTTCTTAAGCTATAGCGCCCCCTATCACTGGGCATCGATTAAATGTGGCTAATACTTTAAAATAAGGTTATTCATTTTAATAATATTATAAGGTAATTCATTTAAATTCTACTACTAAAAATTTACTACTAATAATAATAATAAAAAATAATTATAAAATAATTTACAGCACTGATTAATTAATCTACATGTTAATTTATAAATAGATTATAGTTTATTTTAATTGATTAACATACGTAATACATTAATGTTCAGGTTTATTTATTTATTATTCTTTTTTTTTACATATTTTATTCTCCATACTTCATTTTTTATAGTCATGATTTATTTGATTGTCATGATTCCTAATGCATTAACAAAATTTACTGTCAAATAATACCAATTTTACTTATTTTCCTTGCCTTTCCTTTTATTGTATTATTAATATTTTTATCTGGTCTACCTACAGAATGGTGTAATTTAAAATGACCCAAAAAGGAACAATGTTAAAGCCCAAAGAAGTGAAGGAATCCGCAGCAGCTGAATTCTCTGGGTGTTTTTCACAGCCTGCAGCATCTGTGTTTCAATTAGTCATGTTGATTAGCCTGTGCTTCCTGCCAGACTGACTCAGCTAGCAGCTATGTTAACCGTGAGTCACGCTTCATTCAGATCTGAACATCTGATCACTGCCGTCTGTCTGCATCCATGTGAATCAGCCTCACAGGATAACGGAGGAAACGTTCCCATGATCGTGTCCGTAAAGCAGGAGAATCCAATTCCAGCGATAAGAACAAACTCCATCAATATGAAAATTAGGAGTTTCTGAGTCACTGATATTTCATCCTGTTCCAGTCCAGAGTCACTAACACTTACAACATACACAAGGTTGAGGGGATTTCATCCAAAACCTTTGGGAGAACTCAAAGCAGCGCCTCTCAAACTGTGCAACCTGATGAAGTCTTTCCAAAGAGTGAATTTAACTCAGATTTGTGTTTAAAATATCATTTTTATTTAATTTCAGCTGAATCATCTCTAATATGTATTTTCAATTTTCTGTCATTTTTGTAAACAACAGTTGAACTGTGTGGATGGTGTATTTACAGTGTTCTGGTGTGTGTTTGTGGCCAGTAGACCGTGGCTGTAAGTGCTGTGCTCCTCAAAGACTCATTTACTCTGACCGTCAGATGAACAGTCTGCATGTTGACTCAGCACACACACACACACACACACACACACACTTTCTTGTTTCTCTGAATTCCGGGTTTACATCTTGCAACCTTTTTTATTTTTGTATTCCATGGCATAAACAGGCTTCCAGATAAATGTGTTCCTGCCAGATACTACTGTACACAATAAAGGTGTGTCACATTACTGTAGCAACATTTCATGGACCAAAAAGGTGCATATAGTCTGTAGTCAAAACTAGAGTAGCGCTGTATGAAGCACAGCTCACGCTGAAGACACTGTCACACCAGGCCGCTTTCTGTTGGTCAATGTGCTGAATTTGTTTGACCAAGTTGAACTTGAATCTGTGTCGGGAAATCTTTCACCCTCACACACAATGTGCTATTGTGAGGATCCTGCGATTCTAAGCAACCAATTTAAACCCCATTGCAAAATCTTGTGCCCTGACCTTCTGTCTTGACCTTTGAGCGACAACTGATATGAACTATCTCTTCCATTTCAGTCTGAATCAGTTATGCAAAGAGAAACAGAACATGTAGCTCTGCCCACAAAGAAATCTAAAATAATCTAAAATAATGGTCTAAATGGTCTACAATAATCCAAATAATTGCATATAAAACATCAAACCTTATTGGAAACAGGGAAATGTCAGCGTGTGTGATAAGTTATAAAACTCACAGAAACTGCAAAACACAGCAGGTCAAATATAATAGTAGCTGTTTTTCGGCTCCTGATGTTAGTGCAATCATCTCATATGAGCTAGAATTATCATTTTTAAACATAAAAACAAACACTTGGGTTGATTTTTTTTTTACTGAAAAAACAAATGCGGATAAATTACATTCTAGAGCTGATGAAGCAAACAAACACAAGGCACAGACGAGACCAATCGACTGATCAAACCAATGAAACCACCACAGTATTCAGCCAATGCAGTGATTTACAAACAAGATCTGTGTGTTGAGCGTCATGCGTGGCCTCATCTACTAACCACCGATCATCTACTAACACACCGATCATCTACTAACCACCGATCATCTACTAACACACCGATCATCTACTAACCACCGATCATCTACTAACACACCGATCATCTACTAACCACCGATCATCTACTAACACACCGATCATCTACTAACCACCGATCATCTACTAACACACCGATCATCTACTAACCACCGATCATCTACTAACCACCGATCATCTACTAACCACCGATCATCTACTAACCACCGATCATCTACTAACCACCGATCATCTACTAACCACCGATCATCTACTAACCACCGATCATCTACTAACCACCGATCATCTACTAACCACCGATCATCTACTAACCACCGATCATCTACTAACCACCGATCATCTACTAACCACCGATCATCTACTAACCACCGATCATCTACTAACCACCGATCATCTACTAACCACCGATCATCTACTAACCACCGATCATCTACTAACCACCGATCATCTACTAACCACCGATCATCTACTAACACACCGATCATCTACTAACCACCGATCATCTACTAACACACCGATCATCTACTAACCACCGATCATCTACTAACACACCGATCATCTACTAACCACCGATCATCTACTAACACACCGATCATCTACTAACCACCGATCATCTACTAACACACCGATCATCTACTAACCACCGATCATCTACTAACACACCGATCATCTACTAACCACCGATCATCTACTAACACACCGATCATCTACTAACCACCGATCATCTACTAACACACCGATCATCTACTAACCACCGATCATCTACTAACACACCGATCATCTACTAACACACCGATCATCTACTAACCACAATCATCTACTAACACACCGATCATCTACTAACCACCGATCATCTACTAACACACCGATCATCTACTAACCACCGATCATCTACTAACACACCGATCATCTACTAACACACCGATCATCTACTAACCACAATCATCTACTAACACACCGATCATCTACTAACCACCGATCATCTACTAACACACCGATCATCTACTAACCACCGATCATCTACTAACACACCGATCATCTACTAACACACCGATCATCTACTAACCACAATCATCTACTAACACACCGATCATCTACTAACCACCGATCATCTACTAACACACCGATCATCTACTAACCACCGATCATCTACTAACACACCGATCATCTACTAACACACCGATCATCTACTAACCACAATCATCTACTAACACACCGATCATCTACTAACCACCGATCATCTACTAACACACCGATCATCTACTAACCACCGATCATCTACTAACACACCGATCATCTACTAACACACCGATCATCTACTAACCACAATCATCTACTAACACACCGATCATCTACTAACCACCGATCATCTACTAACACACCGATCATCTACTAACCACCGATCATCTACTAACACACCGATCATCTACTAACACACCGATCATCTACTAACCACAATCATCTACTAACACACCGATCATCTACTAACCACCGATCATCTACTAACACACCGATCATCTACTAACCACCGATCATCTACTAACACACCGATCATCTACTAACACACCGATCATCTACTAACCACAATCATCTACTAACACACCGATCATCTACTAACCACCGATCATCTACTAACACACCGATCATCTACTAACCACCGATCATCTACTAACACACCGATCATCTACTAACACACCGATCATCTACTAACCACAATCATCTACTAACACACCGATCATCTACTAACCACCGATCATCTACTAACACACCGATCATCTACTAACCACCGATCATCTACTAACACACCGATCATCTACTAACACATGATCATCTACTAACCACTGATCATCTACTGACACACCGATCATCTACTGACACCACTGATCATCTACTAACCACTGATCATATATATATATATATATATATATATATATATATATATATACACACACATAAGATATTATTGAAATTATATTATTAATAAGAAAACTAAAATGCATAATAATATTAATAAATAAATACATTAATGAATAATACATATAATTAAGATGTTATGGAAATAATATTATTATTATTATTATTATTATCTCACCACAAAGTGCTCCAGCCTGGTTCCTCCGGCGTTCCCTATGAAGATGCCGGAGCTGGGCTGGAAGGTGAGTGGGTCTGGACTCCTGCGGAAGGCCACGCGATGGTGCTCCTCACAGTCCATGTACAGCCTCACCTCCTCTCCCTGTACGGTCAGTGTGAAGCGTGCCCAGCGGCCCGTCAGATCGCCCATCTTGAAGGAAGCCGCCTCCTGTGTGTGCACGGACCCGGGCTCGGTGTAGTACAGAACCACATGCTGAGACCCGTCCTCCACCGGCGCCAGAGACACTCCCAGATGGACGATCTTCTGCAGCGCGTCTGTGACGGCGAACAGCACTCCTCCGCGCCGAGAGCTGGGTTTGGCCGTCACGATGATGGAGAAGTTGCGGTAGAACGGGTCGGGGATGAAGGAGCGCGTCAGGCGGCCCACGTTAGCGTCCGGACCGAAGCTGTACGCCGGGAAGCCCTCGAAGCCCGTGATAAAGGTTACAGACGGAGGCAGAGGAACGCCGATGAGCTCGGTGAGGTCCAGCTGAGCGCTCGAGGCCCGTTCTGCACAGACAGAGACCAGAGTTAATGAACGTGTCCAAACAGAGCCATTCTAGCTCATTCTGAGCCCCACAGATGAGAGGAAAAATGTCCACAAATAACAATAACAGTCAGTGAATGTTGAGCTGTGGTGCTTGTCTTAAAGCCAATTTCTAAGGCTCATGTAATGCGTAATTATAAATATAAAATAGTAATAGTCACATCTAATTAAAAATGGAAGGTGTTAATATCTTTTAGCATTCAACATGAGAAGCAACAGACAGAAGAATAATTTCAGTTATTTATTAATCACGGTATTTTTCTGAATCAGATGTATAAAAAATAAAAATAAAAATATATATTATATTATTATATTATATATAAATAAATTTATGTGTGTATGTTTATATATATATAATATATACAGTATATATACATAAAGTCAGTCATGACGTTCCAAAATTGTATTGAATGGCATGAGGCTGAGTAAAGAAGAGATTTTTAATGGATACTCCCTCTCACTCATGTCATTTCAAACCCATTAGTCTTTTGTTTATCTTTAAAACATATTTTATAATTTTTTTTACATTCTCTGATCATTTTTGCCCATTTACATTCATGCACTTTGCAGACGCTTTTGTGTGTGTGTGTGTGTGTGTGTGTATGCATGCATGTAATTGTATACATTTAAAAAATAATTTGTATATATTTATTTATCACCAAGGCTGCATTTAAAAATACAGTAAAAGCAGTGAAATATTATTAGAATGTAAAACAGCTGTTTCTATGTGAATATCTGTTAAACTGTAATTTATTTCTGTGATCAAAGCTGAATTTTCAGCATCATTACTCCAGTCTTCAGTGTCACATGATCCTTTTATCAATGTTGAAAACATATGCTTGAGCAATCAGAGTTCAACACACAAGATTTTCTGATCCCATCTGCAGACAATGCATGCTTTACAAAACAAAAGATTTTATTATAAGTGCCAACGTAAAAGCATCTTTCCATCTCTATTGTTTCTTTACGGTCTCAGTCCTGCTAATAATTCATGGCTAAATAAAAGTCTTTATAATCACACAATGCATTTTCCTGTTTATGAGCTGAGATCCGGCGAGCGGTTCTGCAGTTTTATTAGCACACGTTATCCTGCGCTGTAAACTCCCTCCAGGCATCCCTGCAGCTCCTGCATCTTCACTTCAATCGCCTTCTGTTTTCAGAAGATCTGCTTGCTTCCCTCACAGATGAGAAACCAAAACAGCAGCGTCTGCCAGAACTACTGTACCACAGCGGATCACGCTTTAGCATCATTTACATTTAACCAAACAAACCCAGCACACCAAACTGAGCTGGTATCAGCAGACACTGGATCAGAACTGAAACGCACACATGGTCTCGATTAGAGCGCAGGAGAAGCACAAACAATCAGCCGCTCTGTTACAGGCCCATCATCTGGAAGCGGTTAGTGCGGCTAATGGATCTGCTGCGAGGAACGTGCTGGAGAGCTGGACCACAGGCTCTTTAATGGCGCACTATAGCAAGAAATGCCATCTTAGCATTCACACAACAACTTAACGAAGAGCTTCTGCTCATTCACTAATGATAATTCACCTGGGTGAGCTTCATACATCCAGTTCAGCTCATCTCGACGAACATTCGGTCCCAAACGTCAAATGAAGTCAAGGAATCTCAGCGTGGTTTTTTTAAAATGTAATGATATAAAACAGTCTAAAAACAAATTCATGAGTCATCATCTGGAAGCCGTTAGTGCGGCTAATGGATCTGCTGCGAGGAACGTGCTGGAGAGCTGGACCACAGGCTCTTTAATGGCTTTAATTTCTATAGCAAGAAATGCCATCTTAGCATTCACACAACAACTTAACGAAGAGCTTCTGCTCATTCACTAATGATAATTCACCTGGGTGAGCTTCATACATCCAGTTCAGCTCATCTCGACGAACATTCGGTCCCAAACGTCAAATGAAGTCAAGGAATCTCAGCGTGGTTTTTTTAAAATGTAATGATATAAAACAGTCTAAAAACAAATTCATGAGTCATATCAACCAGTGCAAGTGTTTGCACACATGATTTGATGCAGCTGGGGTAAATAAAACCAATGAGGAGATCGTGAAGTCAGAAAGCTGGCAATAAGACGGATGTTCAACCTCACTGAAGCCAAATCCAGCTTCAGCTTCAACAGTTACACTCACTAACGAGTCTTACACATATGATCACACGCAGCGTGGACACCTCTCAAATCTGTTGTTCGTCATGTTTTAATGCATTATACTTTCTAAAAGTGTAACAGTGAACAGATAAGTGTTATAACTGTGGTTAAAATTCATGAAATCATAAATAAGGCATTACATTCTTGTATAATGCATTACATATAAAGGTTTCAAGTAGAGTGTTACCAAAGTTTATTTACCTCTTTATATGCATGAAAGCACGCATCGATTTGGGTTTGGAGTCTTGTATGTGTCACAGTGAATATGTCCACATCTTACAGCGATTAAGCCTAATAACCCGAAATATGTCGTTGTTATGCATGAAAACATACTCAATGATCACACTAATAATCTGTGTGTTTGTTATCATTTATTTCCATTTGCACATTTTACAGTTCATGAATTCTCCATAGATGTTTGCTTTAATAAGATTTCACCAGCCTGTTGTGCAACTAGTGGAAACACTTAGCAAGTATGAAGACATTTGGGAACAGCGTGTATTTATTGCAGGTTTATGAAATGGAGCAGAGAGGTTCACTCCAGACCAGATGAAGGTCAGACGATCAAAGGCTTCTGGATAAGAGCTGAAGGTTTGATTGCCTCTCACGGGGTTCAGGTCAAGTGTAATGTCAGTATGAAGAACAAGGAGGACTTTATATAGCGTTTCTTTCCGTGGAATGGACCAAAGGTTGAAGAGCTGTCCGTGGGCAGAGTTCATCACGTTCATCCGCACAGAGAGAGCCGTACGGAGTCAGGAATCACGTTTGAGGATGAGAGGTTTCTCCATGCAGATTCACATGAGTTTGAAAGTGACTTCAGTTCAAACATCTCTACTATGTACTATTCCAGTATTCCAATTGTCAATTAAAACAATTACACTTAATGTTAACATTACTGTTAACTGTCTGAGCTCATGGACGGAGAAAAGCAGCAAAGGCAGCAGAATCTCAGTCGTCCAAAATGAGGTACTGCATTTGGCAGACCGGCCGGCACAGGGAGGAGTGTTAAACTCAATCTATAGATGCTCCCATGAGCCTCAGAGGAGGAAAGGCCTCACTGCATTCATGAGCTCATCCATGAGAACAACACTGGAGCAAATCTGAAGGATCTCGCCTAATCAACACCAAATGCTTAAAGAATAAATACATGAGCAGAATGTATGCAATCTGAATAAAAGTCAGCGGAGCACAAGAACATTTGTATTTGGTAAAACTTGGCCAAACGTACACAGTTTATAACGGCTTTGGCAGCGCTGACCTTTGCTTCAGGACACAGAGAGACGAGGATAAACCAGCCTTATCTCCGAACAATTACCAGCTCCTGCCTCTCCCTCCAGACACACAAAACCAGTATCTGCCACTTACCAGCATCTCCCTGCTTCACCCGCTGTGTGATCCACACACAAACAGCAGATGATTTCAGAGCACTAGAGACTAATCAGTACTTCAACCAACCCAGCGCTCATCAGCAGTGCTACTAGTCAATAAGCACTGTGTTTAGGACTGGTAAACACTATGGAGAGTCAGTAAGTGGGGTCAGTAGTTTCTGATTGAGAAACAGATGCTATTAGTTTCTTCTGGTTGAGCTGGTTATTTAGTGGCCCAAATCAAGTGTCAATGGAAATCAGTGGAATTTTCTTTCTAGAACCACAAATGAGTTTGAGAAATATTGCATAGTTGAGCGGCTCATGAAATGTCTCTGATGACGTCTGCGGTGTCCGCGTCAGATCACTCACTGAAAGGCTGATTTGTGCAGACATCCGGTCATCCAGAGATCATCACGCTGACCGTCTGACGGTGTGAAACAGAGACAGCAGCAGCACAGGTGTGTCGCAATCTGAAGAGGAGCATCATGGGAGTGCTAGGTTTATTCACAAACATTCAGGCCACACTCCTGCCTGCTTTGCTCAAAGAGTTTCAAACACAATTTACAATGTTAATATTTAAGCAGTGACGACAGAAGAGCTTGGTTTGGAAAGACTGCGCTAGAAATTACACAGCTCAATATTTTGCTTTTGTTTGCTTGTTTAATAATAAAATAATTTGACTCATATATTTTATGCAATACTGTTACAATTTATTACTGAAAAATATGTGACCCTGGAGCACAAAAGCAGTCTTAAGTCGCTGGGGTATATTTGTAGCAACAGCCAACAATACATTGTATGGGTCAAAATTATAGATTTTTCTTTTATGCCAAAAATCATTAGGATATTAAGTAAAGATCATGTTACATGAAGATATTTAGTAAATTTCCTACCGTAAATATATCAAAACTTAATTTTTGATTAGTAATATGCATTGCTAAGAACTTCATTTGAACAACTTTAAAGATGATTTTCTCAATATTTAGATTTTTTTGCACCCTCAGATTCCAGATTTTCAAATAGCTACATCTCAGCCAAATATTGTCCTATCCTAACAAACCATACATCAATGGAAAGATTATTTATTCAGCGTTCAGATTATGTATACATCTCAATTTAAAAAATGGACCCTTATGACTGGTTTTGTGCTCAATGGTCACATATGTGCTGGCCAAAACAAAACTTATTGTTACAATATTTTTATTACTTTTTAACTTTTTTCCTGTAACAATGAATTGTTTTGTGTATTTTTGTTTTTTTTTAGTAATTAAATTTTTCCCCCCCTCTTAATTCTGAGTTTACATGTTGCAATCTAGCTCAGAACTGTGAGGGGGAGGGGGGGTAATTTTTATGAGAATTTTGAGATAAAAAGTTGCAATTACTGTTTTTATTTTTATTTTATCCCATGGCAGAAATGGGCCTCTATAGT